AGATCATCTAAAGAATAGATTTGATGCACTGAACACCAATGACCGAAAACCAGAAGAATTGTGGGAGGATATCAAGAACATTATTCATGAAGAAAGCAAGAGATCACTAAAAAGACGAGAAAAGAAGACCAAAATGGATGACAGAAGGGACTCTGAAACTTGCCCTTGAGTGGAGTGTGTAGCTAAAGCCAATGGAAGAAATGACAAGATAAAAGAGCTGAACAGAAGATTTCAAAGAGCAGCTTGAGCAGACAAAACCAATTACTATAATGAAATGTGCAAAGACCTGGAGTTTGAAAACCAAAAGGGAAGAACATGCTCAGCATTTCTCAAGGTGAAAGAATTAAAGAAAAAATTTAAGCCTCGAGTTGCAATATTGAGAGATTCTATGGGCAAAATGTTGAATGGTGCAGGAAACATCAAGAGAAGATGGCAGGAATACACAGAATCACTGTACCAAAAAGAACTGGTCGATCTTCATCCATTTCAGGAAGTGGCATAAGATCTAGAACCAATGGTATTGAAGGAGGAAGTGAAAGCTGCAATGAAAGAATTGGTGAAGAACAAGGCTCCAGGAATTGACAGAATACCCATTGAGATATTTCAACAATTGGATGCCCCATTGGAGCCACTCACTTGGTTATGCCAAGAGATTTAGAAGACAGCTACCTGGCCAACTTACTGGAAGAGATCCATATTTGTATCCATTCCAAAGAAAGGTGATCCCACAGATTGTGGAAATTATCAAACAATATCAAATAAAATATCACATTCAAACAAGATCGTACTGAAGATAATTCAAAAATGGTTGCAGCAGCATATTGACAGAGAACTTCCAGAAGTGCAAGGTGGATTCAGAAGAGGATGTGGAACAAGGGATAACATAGGTACATAGAGAGCACAGAATAAATACATTCTGTTGTCAGATGGATGTTGGCTCAAGGCAAAAAATACCAGAAAGATGTTTACTTGTGTTTTATTGACTATACAAAGGCATTTGATTGTGTGGATCATGACAAATTATGGGTAACATCGAGAAGAATGTGAATTCCTGAACACTTGATTGTACTCATGAGGAACCTGTACCTTGACCAGGAAGCTGTCATTCGAACAGAAGAAGGGGACACTACATGGTTTAAAATCAGGAAGGGAGTGTGTCAGGGTTGTATCCTTT